ATATATCTTATTAACCAAGCGCGAGGGCCGTACTGGGAGAATATCGGCCCGAGGTCTTGACAGTACGGACCGAGCGCAGCGAGGTCCGTACAAAAAAGACCGAGGGCCGATATTCTTCCAGTACGGTCCCGAGCAAGCTTGGTTAATAAGAGATTTATTATACGACTGAAGTTCAAAGGGACACAAGTGCGGTATCATTCGGGACCATTCGGGACAGTGCCCGGTCCAATACTGAGAGAATATTGACCGGCAATAGAGCATTTTGATTGGTTGATTTTAGTTATTGGCCCTCTTGACTTCCCGAGTCGTGTAATAATATCTTTTATTAAGCGAACATTATGGACGACTCCAAGGATGTTTTGGTCGATTTAAATTTGAGCGACGGGGTAACAGGGAAAGTAAATAAAAGTCAACGTAGGGCTACCTGTGATCAACTGGAAAAGATCACCACTACTGGGGACAAGAAAACACTTCATGAATTACTGAAGACTTTGGTGGTCCTCCATCGCTTAGAGAGCTTCAGACTGTATTTTTTGTGATCAAGATAAACTCGCATGGACCTTGGATTGATAAGCAATCCCAACTTATAAACTCCTAGCTTGTTTTCCAAATGGTTGTCAAGTTTACAGTTGCAGTGAAATATTGTCAAATTGCATACTGGGGGGTAACAAGAGTTGATCTTACTTAAAATGTGCATCAACAAAGGCTTCGATCTTTAAGCTACTAAAGAAAAAATGTTATCTCACAATGGCTAAACATACATTCCATTATTTACGACCAGACGCTCTGTTTCTGTTTCTTATTCAAAGAACCTCAAACCGAAGCTGTAATTATCATTATTCAACATGGGGCCTTGACATGACTACAAATATTTGAATTTGCACTTCTTATTCTATAGGAGTGTAAATTGTAATTATCAAAGATTTGATTTCTCATATAAACCTTTTTAGTTCATATGAAACTTTGTTTAATTTCTACATCCTTTCGTGAACTCAAAAAGCCTTTACGTTATTTGTTTCACCACGCATTCTCAAATGTTCATACCTCAAATATACGATGCAAACTAGTTAATCAACCCATTTTATACAACCGTTTTTCAATTAACAAGTTCTAACGCAATAAACGTTTCCAATTCTCTACAGTTTCCCCTTAATTTTTTTTTAGCTAAGTCGTTTGTCCGTCAAATTCTTTTATAGTCTTCTCGAATTTCATTGCATGAGGTGTCTAGGAAGTGAATAAAAGTCACTCCAGATCTGAATACGAAACATTTGATGGATCTTTACCTCGCCGAAAAAAATCACGGCAATATATCAGACTATCACCAAGCTTAGCGATAAATCATATTCAGTCAAAATATTAGGTACTCATTGCTTTCTTGCTAACGAATGGCTTGATATTTTGTAGGTATTATGCGGTGATTATAATCCTTGGTATTTTCCTGATTGTGATTCTCCTGAAGTTTACTTCCCACAGAGGAAGTCCTCTGCTGAGCACAGCGAGGCGAGCAATCTTACCGTACATGACTCGCAATCACCTTACCAACGAGCATGTAACGACCCGCCAATTGTCTGTTTCTGCTGAATTTTATGACGCATCCGAGGGAGAAGACCATGGTGACGAAAGTAGAAGTGGTTTGCATCAACACTTATGGTCTTTATTCCCGGACGTGACAAGCCATGACTTGCAAGAAGCCATCTGGATCTATTCTTCTGAGCAGGATGTGATAAACCATCTTCTCAACCAAGGCTACACGTTGAAACGTGATTGAACCAGCAGGTAACTTTCACGTACTTCTCTGTGAGAAAGCACAACGTTTATCAAATCCGTCGTTTAAATTGTAACCTTATGAGTGTCACGCTAAACAACCTCTGTGATATCTCAGACACAGCTAAGGAAGGGGGTGAGTGAAACTAAACGCTATTACACAGGTTTGCCTCAGTAATGAACAGTTCTCTCTCCTCAGGCACCGCCAGGTGCACGCCTGTAAACATCTCAAGGTTGTTGTCAGCTGTCTCAAGGGCTTGATTCCCGTAATAAACTCCCAGATGTTCTTTTTAGCAGTTCTAGCGCCTTCTTTATTTAAACTCTCATCGAGCGCGAAAATTCCCCACCTACTCATGCTACGCATGTGCTATGCAGATTTTGCAACGACTTGCCGGCGATAATGGCTTCTTACTGTACAAGGGATTTATTTCGCATTGCTGACAAACAGTTTCTTTCTTTCGCTTTTCAGATGCCAAGTCTTCATTAAGACAAAAAACCGTCGACAGACACAGGCAGTTACAGCACCACACACATTTTATCATTGTTTTAAGGGAAGACGTAAACCTAATATGTAGTTATCTTAACAGAATGTTTACAAACACCTGACACATGTTACTGTCAGCAGACAAATCTCACATTTGATAAAACTTTTAGTCGAATTTTAACAAATGTCGTTCTTCACTTTGCAACTGAATAGCGAACTAAGTAGCGGATCTCCTGTTTGCCTCTCTTTGTTTTAATAGCATGTGTCTTTTTTACTTAACGTACATTATGTATCACTTTCTAACTTCACGACAGCTTCAGACAACTTTATACACGATTTACTTGCAGACAACAACAAAGTCTCTTTCGTCGGCAACATACAAATGTCCATCTTTAGAAACAGCAACATACTGCGGAGACGCAAAGCCACGAATAGTTGTAAGGTACTCTCCTTCCAAGGTAAACACTTGCAACCGGCTGGCATGAGTGTCACAAACAATCAAGCTGTTGAACTTATCGACGACAAGACCTAAGGGGGAGTCAAGACCCTTCACCTTATCTACCGTCATTTTGCCGCCTATCTTGTATAAGATCTTTCCGTCATTGCTGAAGACCAGCACACAGTGGTTCGTCTGGTAAGAAACATAGAACTTGTCTTCGTGATGAATTGCAAACGAAGGAGATCCTGTTAACTTTGGATATCCAAAGCTATTGAGCAGGTTTTCCCCGTTTGGAGAGAGGATTTTAACCATAGCATCACCGCTGTCGCACAGGATAACACGGCCATCGCGTGCCACTGACACCGAGCAAGGACTCTTTGTGCGCCCTCGGAAATGTCTCACAAACGTTCCTTTCTCAGTGCACTGAGTAATGGTCTCACGATCAATAACAATGATGTCTCCAGAGCATGAAACAGCTACTGACCGGGGATTCTTCAGTCTCTTGTTCGTACAACGTGTTCCAAAGTGATTTAGGTACTTGCCATGAGGATTGTATAACTTTATTCCGATACAATCCAAAACAGCAATATTTCCTGTCACTTGACTTATAGCGACATCCTTCGCAGTAGCAATTGCGCTATCTATGTGGTCACCGAAAATGTAGTGGCCATCGTCTGTGTCGTCAAAATCATCCCGTTCTTTAATTTTAGTTCCTAGTTTATACTCAAGTTCATACTGATGCGGCTCCACTTGAATAATCCTCGGACTGTTTGCCAGCGGTTGCCCATTAACGCTTATCATTACTTTGTGTTGGCCAATAGATTCGGGAGTAAACGTAAATTCATATTCCCCGTCAATTGTGTCTTTTAACTCCTTGTCCAATTCCGCTCCTAACGGGGTTTCAACATTTATCTCTACTTCATCATTCTCGTCATAACATTGATCCCCTCGTGAATCTTTTGTCAGCACTGAAATATTGCTTTCTTCGCCGACTACTAATTTCTTTAATCCTTTTCCCTGTGCCTTGCACTGCGACGGATCAGTGTCACTCACAACCAAACGTCCTACGCCTGACAACCGAAACCTTTCAAACGCTTCCTCGTCGATAACATAATTCAAAAAGGAGATATCAAACAATGTGTCGCTGGAATTTAGAAGATCTTCGCAACGACTGACGATCTTGTGCTTTTCGTTCATAATTTCAACACTGCTATCTCTTTCAAGAACGTTGTTTCCGTATTCGACAATGCTTTTCAATCGTGAAACACGCTGCCTCAATTCATTTTGCCGGGTTGCGTGACTTTCATGGTATTGTTCACCAAGTTCGTCGAGCTCCTTAAACAAAGCTTTCTTCTGACTTTTTAAACCTTCAATCAATTCATCTACAATCGCTGCCACTTTTCTGCGAGCCGCCTTAACTTGTTCCTCGCTTCTTTGAAGAATAGAGGTATTCTCCTCCATTTCGTCTTCACAATCGACGATTTCGTGTCTCGCTTTTTTTACAGCCTTCTCAATTTTTCTCTTTCCTCTCCGAGCAGCTTTATAAACATCGCACACATAATGAGATCGATGGCTCTCGCCGCGACATTTCTGACAAATACATTCGCGACAGTTATCGCAGTAAAGATTTACAGCTTCCCTCTGGTGGTACATTTCTGGACAAGTGATTGGTCTCTGTGAAGGATCTTCGATGTCAGTATTCTGGCGATGCAGTCTTTTACTGTCGCGAAGTGTCTTGCGGAGCAAACGCGGGGTCGAGGAAACCGACCTTGGATATCTAGACATCACGGAGAGGATACCTTCGACTGTGTTCAACAACTAAATATGCGGCGAAGTAGATTTCCGACAGTCTCTGCTTTACGATAAAAAAGCGTTACACAGAAGAAAGTCTTCCGCTCTAAAAAATGATTCAAGCAAAGCGGCATGGGGCAGATTTCTTGCAACCCTTTCGACTCTTCCTAACCGATGTCATTTTCATTGTGTTCTCTTCGCTTGCAAACAAAACCAACTATATCACGTGATCCATTAAGTCGATGTCGTCATCGTCAGACTATTTTTTTAAGAAAAATGACATGAATTTCACGCGCAAAATAGTATGCTTCTGCACAGTTTCAGTGGCTTTTTTTTCCTTGAGCGGTTGCGATGGTGTAAGAGGCAGCAGTACCCGAAAAGAAGTCCAAGGAGCTAAGGTTAGGGTTAAACCGCGCTGACGAGACCCGGACAGATTGAAGTTTTAAGTTTCTCACAAATCCATCTTTACTTTCAGTTTCTATGGATACCTTGTTGCTCACTCCTATTTCATCTTTGCTCCAGCAGTTTACACTTGTGTAGCTGGGTGGTTGTAAGGGAGGGTTTGATTGTACAAAGAGCTTCAATAAAATGTTTATGTTCCACCTTACTCATTGACATTCCTCCATCTTCAAGAGCATTAAGAGCGGCCTGTAAAATAATAAAAAATAAAACAAATAATTGAGTCACGAAAAATAATATTAGAACATAGCTAGCAGAGTCGCGCAATCAAATTCATTATACGTAAGCGTGCTCAAAATCCCGATAGTGCACGCTGATAGCGTCAGCAAATCCGACTTCGCCAGAAATTTTTTTTCGCGCGAGCGGCCATTGCTAGTGCGGGGAAAAATAATATATTTCGCGACAATAATGGATACAAACAGAAACTCGGCCTGCTAGTCCGAAAACGAAGACAATGTTTCGACCTTTTCCCATGGGCTAAAGTTCTTAAATGAGGCAGAAAAAGAGAAAAACAAAGGAAAAGGAGACTCGGCATCAGCGCCGTCACGATTCGCTTCAACTGATATTGTTGTCCGTTTTTCGCGTCGCGTTTGATGCACAATTCCACCGGCTATGTTCTAAAACAATTAGTTCATGCTTTCAGTTGTGCACTATCGAGTTATGGAGCAGGTGGGAAGTTTGGAGAGCACTCAAGAAGCTAGAGTTGCTCTCGGCTACGATCGCCTCGGGCAACTCTTACGCTTCTTTCGTGCTCTCCAAACTTCCCGCGTGCTCCATAACTCGATAGTGCATGCTAAAGCATGAACCAATTGTTAACTAGCATAGGTTCAAACTGAAAGACAAAATTTTGATTCATTTCACGGTAAATTATCCAAGGGGAACGAAAAGTTTCAGTTGGGAAAAAAAAAAGCTATTTTCCAGATGTTTTACGTCTTGTACAGGATTTCAGGCCCGTTCCCTTAATTCAAAATGGGCGCACAATGTTTTGTTTTGTTCTGCTTCCTGTTTTTTCCACTAATTTTAAGATTTCCTTTCGTTGTGACTTCCTGTTCCAATTCCTTTCAGTCACATGAAGTAAGTCGTTCGATAAAAACTCCTAGTTCCCAGTTCCCACATACAATCCTTTAACAATTTGACTCCTAAGAGTGACCAACTTCCAATTTCTCCTTACAATACAACCCTTGAATCACGCATAGAGTCACGAAAATAAAAGAAAAGATCACCAACTAAAGAAACTCTTGATTGTTTAACAAATTCTCCTTGTCAGCACCTTAAGAAATGAGAACAACATCATGGAGAATACAGATACTGATGTTCACGTGAAAAGGCTTTCACCATTTAACTCTTAGGAGAAATTATCATGAACCGTTTCCTTGTGATTTTAATGCGTTATCTAACAGAAAAGTAAAGAAAGAACACAAACTTTTAGTTATATGGTGTGATGATCATGTCCCGCTAAATTCTCCCAACTAATTAAACAAGGAGATTTATGGCAGCTACGAAGGGAGTTTCAGTTCAAATCAGATCTTGGAAGTTAAAAGTTTTCTCGGAAGACATCATATTCGAAGATTTATCGTTTTCTCGAACTCCAATTTCTTACCTCTCTACACAGATTTTCGAGGTCGGCACCTGAGAACATTTCGGTTTTCAAAGCGAACTCTTCTAAATCCACGTCATCTGCTAAAGGACTGGAACGAGTGTGTACTCTTAAGATTTGCAACCTCGCCTCCACGTCTGGCGGTGGCACATAAATGATGCGATCGATTCGACCCGGTCTGAGAAGGGCCTCGTCGATTGCATCAGGCCGATTAGTAGCTGCGACAACAAGAACGTCTTTCACAGTTGAAGAGCTAATGATATTCAATCTTTGCGTTTTATGGGGTATTTGCGCATTGTCATACGCACCAGATCCTAACTCATTTCTCATCAACTGTTCGCCACAGGAGTCGCTATCTTTTTTGTGTAATGAAAAATGTGATTTTCCTTCCTCTGCTTGGTAGATATTCGCTAATACTCCAATACCATCCATTTCATTCAGCAGAGTTGACAACAGTCGCGCCTCTGCCCCAGTGTTGCTCGTCCCAGATCGTTTGCCAACAATTGCATCCAATTCATCAAGGAACAGAATTGACGGAGCCGTCGCCCGGGCCTTAGTAAACAACTGAAGACAAACGGTATATGAGTTAAAATTCAGAATAAATAGAGACAAATCAAATTAATAAGGCACATATGTGACCATGCGTGCTGTATTTATCGAGGATCAGCAATGTTGAAAAATAATCCTAAATGATGAAAAAGAAAAAAAAGAAAAAAAGAAGACAATCGGAAAAAAAAGACGGGATTCCTGAACTGTCGGTCCACGCAAACCACCCCTTTGTTTCTTGACGTGATTGCTCCCAAAAAAAAAAAAACAATTTGTCCCGTTCAAAAGTAGAAGATGGCGACTTGGTCGCTTGCCTTTTCCCGCGCTTCAGGCAGTTTGCTCGTTTTCGCTTTAGTTCTCATTGGCTCCTGATATTTTCTTGCACTCTCATTGGCCGTTGTGTTTATTTTGGTTTTTGTTTTGCGATAAGCAATCGGAAAGCAATCTTATGACCAAAGCTATGCATCACGAGGAGGAGGAGGGCGAGTGAAACACTCACTTTATCTTCACCTTGAAATTGATAATGGGTGATAAACCGACATGGCGAATTTAAGATAGAAAGATTCAAATCCTCAAGGAAGCTGATGTTAAGCCGTTCGTCAGAGGAAGATAATCCAGGGCTAACGCTGCATTTATTATCAGCTTTTGGATCGTTTAAGCAACAGCCACTTTCCTCTGACCTCTCGTATTTTCCGTTCTGCATCTCCAACATAAGGCGAGTATAACTGCGCACAGCTGAGGGCCATAAACGTGCATTTACATGAAGAGGCTGACGCACGCACTAGGGTGGTTTTACAGCACCCAGGAGGGCCATACAGAAGAACGCCCCTGGGTCGCTTCAGGCCAAAACGTTCAAACGATTGTGGATATCTGAGTGGCCATTCTATTGCCTGAAAATAAGACATTGTTTAAGGATATTAATTAAAATCAATCATATGTAAAAAAATATTTTTCTTAAAAAAAAATAACTTCTCCTGTAGGTGTTTTCTCGGCTTCGCCTTCGTTTCTCTCTACTTTCACTACTGGCGTTTTGCGTATGTCACCTTCGTGACCCGTGCTTTGCGCTCGCGTCTTGTGTTTCTCGTTCGTCTCCCTCATTTTGATTTCGTATTCCTTCCTTCTCGTTCGGGAACTGCATTTTGCATTGGTCTCCTTGAGTCTCCCTTCGCGTTCTCTCTTAAAATCTCCATTTAAGCCCTGACGCCTGCCTGGCTCCATGAAAACGCGCGAAAATTTGACCTCTGAACCTTTACGTTGTATGTCATCAAATATTTATGGCAATAACGTCTACAACACCTTGCGTTTGTACCTCTTGCCTAGTGACTGTGTAACCCGTTTCCACATCACTATTAACGCATCATTTCTCCTTATTGAATATATCTATCCCTCCCGGCCCAGTAGGAAGAATTCAGTGATATATCTATCCCTCCCGGCCCAGTAGGAAGAATTCAGTGATATATCCAGACTATAACCACGTATTGATGTCGATCTCTGTCTTCTATTTAGCAATCTTTTTTGAAATGCGAATCACACACCTCTTCCAAGTAACACAAAACACATCAAGAAGTCTGGGAAAAATAATTAACCACGACAAAACAAACTGTACCTGTTTCAGAGCTTCTTTAACATCTTGAAGTCCCCCAATATCTTCCCAATTGACGGGATTTAATTCAACCATTCCTTCCAGGCCTCGGTACATGGATGGAACAATGTGACACAAAGCCAGCTGGAAATCTGTGGTGGTTACCTCAGGGACACTATCTATCAGACGCAAATGAAACGTTTCACTTTGCCTTTCCCTAGATAACGCTTTATATTTCTTTGTTGCCAAGTCCTGAGAATTTGTTGAACATTACACTCGAAAAGATTGCAAACTTTTCTCGCGTTCTCCCAACATATCAGTTGGGTTATTTCGCCGGTAAACTGATAAAGAGCGTGGTATTTTGCTAATTGGTTTCAAGAGTTTTACTGTTCACCTTCTATTTCAGTCTGTACCAAAAATCAAAGTAATGCATACCTGAGCTGCCCAAGTTGTCACTGCTACTATAATGAAGTACCCTTTTCATTGCCACATATGCTGCTTCTCTACACAGTGAAGCAATGTCAGCACCTACATAACCTAAGGTCAGCTCGGCAAGATGCGATAGATCTACTTCGTCTGCTAACTTGAAGGATCTTGCGTGCGCTTCTAAGATAGATAATCGTTGTAAGGCATTGGGTACTCCAATCACAATCTACAATGCAGGGAAGCAACAGAAAGAAAGAGATGAGACTCTTTAATTCTTAATTCTCAGAAGTGATTACCTTGGAACTTCTCCCTATAACATCCATACATTATCAAGCAAACAGGTAATGAGAATATCTACACAAACTTATCAGGTAAAAGATGTTATCTTGATCTAACACTAAATTCTTGTAACCAATTAACAAGAAAGTGTGTAAAAGCTAGAGGGAAGAATTAACAGTCCAATCTTGGGAGTTTAACCATTTCGGCTATCTTGACTGTTTTGAGGTAGTTTGTGCGTTTACTCCAGTTTACTCATTGCCGCTAATTTGACACTTTTAACCAATTGAATGACATCTGCTAGGGGGTGTCTTTTTAAAATTTGCACATAAAACTGTATGCAACACTCTCTGGATCTACTGAAATCTAACATACGTTCATAATTTGTGGAATAATTGACACAGCCACAAATAGTTCATATCTGATATAATTATGAGTGCCTATAACCCTGGCTAGCTTTGCCATGAAAATGTGTTGAATTTAAATTTTCAGGCCTGGATTCAAGATGATGGGGCAAGCATTCCTAATTATTTTAGATTATTCCTTTACTTTAGTGCTTATCAGTTGTGTTACTTCTTACCTCCCTATCAAGTCTACCTGGTCTTCGCAAAGCAGGATCAATAGCATTAGGCCTGTTTGTTGCTCCAATGACAACAAGCTTGCCCCGGAATTCCAAACCATCAAGAAGAGTTAGAAGCTGAGCAACAATCCTGTTCTCTTGTTCACCACCACTGTTTCCTCTCTTTGGACACAAAGCATCAAGTTCGTCAATAAATAAAACACATGGACCGTGTTGTGAGGCATTCCTAAAAGAAGGCATTAACATTAGCAGCATTATAATAATAAAGTTTGCACTCAAAGCAAGTGGCCCATCCAGCCAAAGCTTCTCTATTCAATTGCAAGGTTCCCCCACCAGGATTTCATCAGGCTTCCCTGAAAACTTACCAGACAATACACATTTGTACTCTTTGGTGGAGAAGGGCACTGTGAGAGTAAAGTGTTTTGCCCAAGAATATGACACAGTGACCCAGCCAAGTCTTGGATTCAGACCCCTTGACCCCAAGTCCAGCTCAATTACCAGTAGGCCAGTGTGTCTCCCACTGCCATTACCCACCAGGGCTGGGTTGTTCAAAGGTGGGTTAGGATAAGCCAGAGTAAATGTGAACATTGATTTCAGATCTGAAAGCTCTAAAAGAATATTTAGTTTAATTCCATCTGTCTACAATTTGATGATTGAATGCTTTAAAAAGAATTGGGAGAATCATTATCCTGAAATAGCTTTTGAAAAAAGAAATAAAGAAACCTGGATTAAGATTTAACCCTGGGTTAGCCCTAATCAGCATTCAAACAACTGGGCCCAGGGCTATAAACTGAAGATTCAGATAAATTTCTAACAAATGTCTAGTGTTTTCTTTAAAGCGAATGGCTGTCACTGTTACACAAATACCTTGCAATCTGAAATGTTCTTCTCAAATTTTCCTCACTCTCTCCTGGATGTGGTCCAAATACATCAGCACCATTCAGTATAATCAACTGTGCATTACACTGCACAGTTACACTTTTAACAAGAAGTGTCTTGCCCACTCCTGGGGCTCCTTGAAGTAAAATACCCTTGGGGCATTCAAGTCCTAGGTGTTCAAAGCATTCTGGATACTGGAAAGGATAGTTAAGAACTTCTTGTAGTTCCTTCTCAGCATCATCAAGGCCTGCTAAAGTCTGAGTGCTGTTGCTTTCGAAGTAACATCCCCTTTTTACTGACTTTACAGTTATCACTGTTTTATCAGTTATTTTTACTGCGTTCTTCCCCGAAGACGGAGTTGGGGGGTCTGTGGCAATGATTATCATTCTTTTGATTTTGTCAGATGAGCTGTGGTCGTTTCTACATTCTTTTGGCTCAACAACACAACCTTGTATTATTGCTAAATCTCGTAGCAAAGTACGAGACACTCTTTCCCTTCTCATCTCACGTTCAACTTGGGTCAAGCTCTGATCAAAATCTTCTGCTGAATTCGACAAAAACAGAGAAATAATAACTGATTTGGCCTCAAAAGTGTCAATAACAACGATGTCATCGGATGATATTTTCGTCTTGATGCGAGAGCTGTTTTTCTGGCATTCTTTCGGGTTCTTTAGAAGACTAACAAGTGTATCGAATTGCAAAAAGTTGTTGTTCCCGTCAGATCTGGGCCACAATGAACACATTACGAATCCAGACTCTACTGGAATTTTAACCGGCGAATTTATCTTTCCCTTTATTTTCTCTGCTACCATCGGTGCAATCCGACATCTTCCAGAGTTGACGTCTTTTGCCTCACAAGGAACACGAGTTAGTTCGAAAGGCAGTTCGTCCGCCATCTTGTATTGACCATCTGATTTGATACCCTTTTTTGTGGGGAGGGGACAGTAAAATTATTATTTATTAAAGTTGGTAAGGTTAGATTAGTATTTCAATGTTTCGTTGAATCTTTATTTTGTTTTCTTTTCGTAATCAGAACAATTTTGTACAATTTTTTTTGGAAAGTCGTACCGAACTATTTCGAGGCAATACTTCAAAAACCCCTAACCCTTTGTAAGTACTCCCCTTCGCTCCCTGGTAAGACGGGATTATTTGGGTAGCGAGGATTGCGGGCTCATGCAGAAACAAGATGGCGGCGGCGATGGTAAAATATGTGGTCCAAGGTTTGTGGAGGAAACAGCTTTTAACAGCAAGAATTTGTACAAGTTTAACAGCTCAACCAACATTTTTATTTTCAAGTGAATCAGGTTATGTTCAGAGAGGTTGATCAGTTTTAGGGGTAGACGGAAAGTACTGGATGTTTGTAAGTCTTTCGATTGGTGCTGCATCCGTGCTTTAGTTGCTTGGTTATTTGATTGGTTCAAATCACTGGTCCATTCACTTCCAGAGAAAATTTTTATGGATGGGAACTATAACTGATTCCTATGGATGTAGGAGAAACGAGGTTTTAAGTTTTGCGCAATCCATGAATCGGCTCAGTGATAAAGTTGAACGTGCCTCAATGAAATCGATTTACCTCTTTCGGTATGATGATTGTGTTGCTAGAACTTTAGTGTACAGGGTCACTTTTGACATATCTCTGAACTACAATAGTACCCATGAGCTCTATCCTTTTTTTAAGTTTAGGAATCAGGTGGACCTGGGTGGCATTATTTTCCGTAGCTGAACTGTTTGGGCTACGTTGACAACGGCTCGTTGGATCGAAATTTCAGATTTATTTCAGTTTTATTTCAGTTACACCGTCAAATGAGCATGATGAAAGCTACAACATAGCTTGTCCAGGTTGGCTGTGAGAAGGGGCCAATATTGTATTTCCCATTTCCCTTTTGAGTTCTATCCCTGGTAATTAGATGGGGACCCTGTGACATACTCCATACTGTGGTTTTCCCACCTGATCGATCAGAAGCTGTGATGTAGGGCTTTTTGAGGCTTGGGGAGTCCAAATTCTTGGCTTACAGGACTGGCTTGATCTTGGTGCTTTTACTATTTTGTTTGTTCAGGGTTTTATTATTAAAGTCACAGGATGAAAATGCAAAAGAACAGAGGAATATTCACCATATCACATAGTTTATACAATCAATATTTTATTGAGGCAATTCCATCTAGAAGCTAAAGAATTCCCTGATCTTTTTCGTCCAAACTGTAGCAGTTGGTACATCCCAGCTTTCTCTGTAAACAGATGTAGCCTCAGTATATAAATTAGTCCATTAGGTGCTTAGTCTCCCCAGTTAATCTCCTCCTTGTTAATGAATTGTTTGGGTTTCAAGGTTGAAAATTTTACTTCTCTCACTGCAGCCAGCTATATGTTCAGTCACCATAGGAACCAGGGTTAAAATATGGACATGAATATAACAATGTAAAACAAGCTTTTTTGTAAGGTTTACCTTTTTCAAATTCACTTTTGAGGTTAAATCCTTTTTCCTTGTTACTAGGGTCAGTTGGTTTGTCTCTTTTTCATAAGTTACAACTGAAGGTTAGTCTTGTAAGCACATAGAAAAATGACTTAGTATTTCAATTCTAGGTGGTGGAGAGCAGAAGCTTTGTCAAGGTATAAATTACTTAAAAGATGGATCTGACCCACCTCTGTTACCAGACAGCGAATATCCTGACTGGCTGTGGGAAGTTCTTCAACCAAAACAACCAGTGGACGAAGAGCCAGATGACTTAAACAACAAAACTTATTGGAGAAGATTAAGAAAAATAAGATTGAGACAGGCAAATGCATCCAGGAAGAAAAAGAAGTGAACATAATTTTTTTGATGGCTGTAAGACCAAGGTTCCCAATAGCAAGGTGTTTCAGGGGTATAGGAAGCCCTTAAAACAAAAATTATCGGAGACAGCAGAATCAGTGTAAGAAGAATGTTTCTAAGATACCTGATTCAAACTATAAGGGGGACAAAATAATTTTGTTTTAACCCCTGAGTTGATAAGTAACATAATTGGCTACTATTGCCCTTCATCAGAGCAAAGCTGCGCTGACATTGGTCTAACGCTCAAGGTGTACACTTTATAAACCCTTTAGGGTGGCCAAGTTACATGATCAGTTATCTTCTATATCCCCCCACTAGCACAGTTACAAAGTTGATTTGAAGGAAATGTTTTCATGCTGTTCAACTTTGTCAAAAACTGCCTGAGGTCTTTCAGTGGAGTTGAAATGGGAATTAGTTTCTCTCCATAGATTCATGCTAACTTATGTCCACTGAATATGTCTGGGTAGCCAGTCACTTTCTTCACAGGCTATACTCGATAATATTGGGTTCTTGTGGGCAACTTCATTTCCTTCCTTAAATTATTTCTCCTGAAGTGATTTGTTTTAAGACACAACAAATTAACTTCTGGATCTAACAAGCTTTCAACTGCATTTTTTTCATCTTAATGTTATGATACTGTACCCTGTTGTCATGAAAATAATAAATAAGTAAAACGGCAAACCAGACACAAATTCCAAGAACTTTATTTAATTTTAAAGTTTTTGCAAATGTTAGCAGTCTTTTAACAAAAGAAGAGGCATGAAAGGTATGCACATGCAAAACTAGGCAGCTGTTGACCTTAGGGAGGGATTTTTTACAATACACTCAATCTTTTAAAACTTATCTTACATTAAAAAAGATTCACTCTTTATCATCATATACTAACTTTTCTTTGAGTGATATCTGACAAAATTCACACACTTAATAGTTCAATTCTGGTACACTTTTTGCTTCATGAACTGCCAATTTCCCTCTTCTCTTGGGCAGTTACTTTAAACAAAACAACTAAAATTTCCTCATAATTTTCCACAAGTAGAAATGACTGGATAGTTGTTAATCTGCCTTTGACAGAAGGGAAAACTGGGAGTTAAACACACCCACCTATGTGGTAACTAGACATGTGACGAGACTGTGCGTCTTAAAATTGACACGACTAACACTTTGACAATCCAAGTCATGATGAACTCTACAAGTGAAAAGTGTTCTATCCAAAATCATGTCTTACAAAAACCTGTATTCCATCCAAACAATGCATCTGTACAAATGCCTTCCCAACACTTCTTTGTGCAAGAACATCCATGTACATGGCTCAATCAGTCCTACTTTGATTCTTCTTGACACAGATTCTGATGTGCTCTCTATCCATTAATTTCACACAGGAGGGACAAGAATCAGCCCTGTTTATTGTCATTGGTACATTGTACCTCACACATTCAAAATATCACCTCATAGAGGGTTGCTTTCTTATCACCTGACCCTGTTACAATGTACTTGTCGTCTGTGGATATATCGCAGCTTAGGACAGATGATGATTCTTTTGACTGAAAGTAAACAGAAAGCAGGATTTAGAAAAAACAACAACAACAACAGCAAGCTATTTAGCTTTTAAACAAACATTGCAAACCTGAAAGATGCTGGCCCCATAAGGTGTTCTCCAGGCATTCAGCAAGTTGTCTTTCCCTGTAGTAATAAACCACTTGCCAGAGTAGGCAAACTTTAATGACAACACACAACTTTCATGCAGATGAAGCTGATACTTGTCTGGTTTTGTCTGGTGAAGTACTTCAACATTGCTGTTCTCCATTCTGTGGGGGGTAAATAAGAGTTCTGTTTAGTTTATCCCTTGTAGGAGTTTAAAATGAGGTATCTTTATTATGTCAGTTTCAACATTTATCAACAATCATTTAAGTCTGCAATCAAAGCAAGACTCTTTCAAACAAGTGTTCCATAACACCAATGTAATTGAACTTAAATTGATTAACATTTATTACCTAACTGATTAGTTTTTATTGAATATTGTGAAAAGGATTTAAGAATTGATCACTGCTTACCCTACAGCCAGCCAATCACCAGAAGGACAATACCCTAAGGAAAAGATCTGCGATGTAAAATCATGTTGCTGAAGTTGTCGACCTTCCCTGAGATCCCAAGATCTAACTGTGTTGTCTAACCCACCTGTTAGAGAGAACAGAATAACTTTAATAACTTAATGATCGGGAATATTTTGTTTAGCAAAGAGTACGCACACACACAGATGACTATTAGCACCCATGCACACACAGAGATGACTATTAGCACGCACGCATGCACACACAGGATACTAAAACTGATAAAAAGAACCACATAAATGCATTACTCACAAATATCTTAAACCCTTCATGTCCAAGATCTCATTAGTAGTTCTCTTCACTATCTGCTAAACAATTCTTATGGTGATCAACTAATGATCCTCTAATTGATACTCTACTTTGTTCTCATCACTTGTCTGCTTGACTACATATTGATTTTGTAAGGAGAAATTCTCTCTTGGTCACTCCTGAGAGTTAACAGCTTAACCCTTTACCTCCCAAAAGTGATTAACATGTATCTTCTCCCCATAATATCCCTATGTTATCCAGCAAACAGGTAATAAGAATGCTCAAACTCATCAGGTACAAGTTGATATCTTGATGTGACACCAAATTCTCCTTACTGATTTAAGAGGAAAAGTGGTGCAGCTAGAGGGGAGAATTAAAAATCAGATCTTGAGAGTTGAAGGGTGACTTTTGTAACAATTTCAACCTCATAGCCAAATCTCTTTTTTCCCCACTTGACAATTTCAGATGTAATTGACTAAAGAAGCGTGCTGGGAAATTAACTTGTCACAAAAAACACCTCCCTACCTGTCCACAACTTTGTCCCATCTGGTGAAATATCAATACAACTTGCACCATCTGTATGACCTTGGAATTGTCTGACTAACGTTTGATTATGCAAGTCCCAAACTGCAATGTTTCCATCACTACAACAGCTAAAACAAACTTTGGAGTCTGGACTTATTGCCAATGCATAACATGCTGGTGCATTTGAAGTCAGTTCATTCTTTATACGAGGTTGAGATGAGGCCAGATCCCAAATTGTCAGAGTGCTAGCTTCACCACCAACTATTAATGTTCTTCCATCAGGCAAGAGTCGGCATGATCTAATGTAGTTATCTCTCTGCAAAAGAAATGCAAAATAGGTTGCTGCTTAGTCTAACAGGCACGAAAACTGAAGATTAAGAGTTAATTCAACCTGATTTTTTTTTTTTATTGCAGAGCATTAAAAGTTCTTATAACAAGCTCAACAAAATCAGAAACTGGTGTTACCTTTTGTTTTTTTCAACAACCTCGGCAAAGTAGACAGTATCCAATTAGCTAAGAATTTGAATAGTATCTTCCACTCTTAATGGTGCAAATAAGAATTTTATTTCCTGCTTACCAGACATTCTAAAGTTGATATTGGATTTTTTCCACTACTCTGACCAATATCCCATACTTTGACACATCCCTGCAGAAGGAAATATTTCATGACTAAACATCATTCTTAACACTATCAACCCTCAAAACATAACATTGTCATTGCTAGACTATGTGTGACAAACCAAAAACCAAATGAAGTAATTCACATGTCGGCAAGGATCCTTACCTTTCCTCCTGTGTAAACATGACGAGTTGGATGGCTAATTGTGACGGCACAGACTACTTCCCCATGATTAAGTTGATTGATCTGCCTAGCATGCCGTGGGATGTTTGAACCAATCAAAGCATCTGGTGGAAATGGTACAGCTTGCATTTGGCCATCACCACTGACGTAAAATGAATATGCTGGTTTACCTCCTGGTGGTCCTGCTGGGAGACCAGGTCCAAGGGGAGGCATACCTACCCTTGTTGCAGGGGAACCATGTTCAAAGCCGACCTGTTTAAATTTAAATTTTCAAAGGTCAATCACTATAAAAAGGTGTCCAACATAAACATACACAATTTAGAATTGACCTTCTCCAGGTGTTCATTCCCCCTTTAACTCCCTTCAACTCCCTTTAAGAAATGATTGACATGTAACTTCTTCCTTTGATATCCTTAAATTTTCCAGAAAATAAGAAACAATAATACTCAAACTTGTCAAAAAGAAGTTGCTACCTTGATCTCACACAAAATTTTGTAAGTAGTTTACAAGGAAATGTGTGGCAGCTAGGGGAGAATTAACAATCACATCTTGGGAGTTAAAGGAAAATCAAGGAGAAAGGAGTTTCAGGACTAAATTTTGATAGCATGGTACATATTTTTTAACAGAGTTGGGGCTTATTCTCCCATTACCCTTTACTGCATTTTTGAATGAAAACCAGCTGCTTCTCAACTGAATAAATCTGCAGAAAATCCCGCATTCTTATCCCAAACAGGGATCACAGATCAAGACACTACATCAACACCATGAGCAAGGTTACCACATGAAAAACAAGGTGTTTTTGGTGATGTCTTTGAAAAGGACAGAAGAGGGGCCATTTCATAGCAACTCTTGAGGAGGGAATTTGCCAGAGGCCAACTTCACAGAAAGCCAGTGGAAAACAATGAGGGGAAAATAAGCTTTTGCCTGGAAAAATAAACAAATAAAATAACTGAATATCTACATACCAGTGATCTACCAAAACCAATTCCACTAGCAGACATTCCTGGAGTCATCACTGAGGGTGAATATGATGTTGGACTTGAAAGTTCACTGCAAATGAAAGTTGTTAAAATAGAGTGGAATTACTTTTCTAATACCTGTTGTTGATGAAGTCAGTAACCTCCTTTCAAAAGTGCAGAACTCTCCCAAAAATGTTTTAGAGTTCTTCACACATTATGAGTAACATCTGCAAACACGGTTGTCATGAAACTCAGTGCCAAGTACATTCCCCATAACTTAACTTTTTAAACCCCAACACTGACATGCATATTCTCGATACTGTTCTCCACGCCTTTCCCAAAGTGCTGACTAGGAGAATTTGTTTAACAATCAAGGGGCTTCTTCAATTAGTGATCACTTCCTTTACTCTTGTGACCTTAAGATGTGATTCAGTGGTGATAACGCAAGGAGAATTCTGAGCTTTGTCTTCAAAAAAAGTAAGATTTCATTTCCTTTGTCAAGAGCATGGAATTAAGAGGATACTTATTAAGAACTCATTTAGCATTTTTCTCTGCACTCATGACAAACTGAGTAACATTTTCTTCACATTTCTTAATGGAGCATCAAATACATTTTTTATAATTGTACTGTACATTCCTACCTCGCGATAGCATTTACATACGGGTAAGGTCCTCCCTGTACAGACATTGCTGGTCTCACAGGTGGTGCAGCTGGAATTATTGAATAAACAAACAAAAAAAACATATTTAAAAACTTACAGTATCACTGTAAACATTAAAAACCAAAGTACTTTATGTGATGTACCCATCAAGCTAATATTTTCTTGACAATTTTTCTGAAAAAGCTTTCAATCTAAAATAAAGACATGAAGGAGAAAAACAAGAATTGAAAACCTACAGTATGGCTCAAGTGGTAAGAAAAAAGATGTCAGAGGCAACACAGATTTATTTTTGCCTTTCAGCAAAAAGAACTGGAGATCAGAATGACAGTCTTTGGCCAAGAACACAACTCACCGACTGGTGTTTTGACAGATGGTGATGATCTTGATGGGCTTTTCCTTCCAGATGACCCAGTCTCTGACGTTTGTCTTTCAAGTACAGCTTTGCTTTCAGACTGCAGAGACAATTCCGCCAATAAATTACAATAAGGTAACATTCTGAAACTCCCTGTTGCTAAGACTACTTCTTATGGCCTTCGCTCTTTTTCTTATCATGCTGTTAAACTATGGAATTC